TTAAGGTGCTTGAGGACAACCACTAATACGTAGCATACAAAAATAACCGAAGTCACCTTAAGAAGTGAAATATGTATATGCCGGCTGTGTTGTGTAAACAAAAACATGAATTTAACATGACTTGTCACCGAGACGCCCAGTTTGTTTTATAGTATGAGCTGAACTCAAAATACAGGCATCAGAAAATGGCTATTCAAGGGAATACACCAAGGAACCAAAGATCTTTTTTCCAAACTTTATTTGATGACAATAGACAAGAACATCTTGAGCACAGAGACCCTCCCTGGCTGTCCGGGCTCACTGTAAGGAGATAACAGCAGAATTAGTACGAGTTTAATTTTCACAGCCACAACAAAAATTAAACTTTCTGACAATGTGAGTCATCTAAAGTTAAAGAGCACAAACTGAAAAAAACAAGTGTTAAGAGTAATTTTAGGTGAGCTAAGTAAACAAACAAAAAAAACTTGCAGAAGTCATTTTAAAGACAGAACAAATTTCAGTGACACTGACAGGCTTTCAGTTCAGATTCCCACACTCAAACTTAAAAAAAAAAAATCCACATGCTACACCTGAGGTTCTGCTTCTATCAACTAAACATGTGAAGCACTAACACAGCACTGGTGCCTCATTTAAGCCAAAAAATCCTAATGGATATGCCCACTGTAGCAGAGACAGTAGTACAAAGGACTGGGGTGGAGGAAAAACCTTTAGAACAGCATGGGAAAACGGGAAAAAACACCGAAGGAAATCTACAGTGGAAAGAAGGGTGTAACATGCATGGCACAGCTCAGGTCTATCAACTTCTGATGTGCAACACAATGGCACACCATGCTTGTTCTGCTTCTATACCTGAAGACTGACACTTCATTTCTGCAAAAGAAATCCATGGGAAGCAAAATTGAGAACAGAACATGGAACAAAATAATGTTTATATTATAATAACATCTTAAGAATTGAAACATGGAAATGACAAGACCTCTGAATAGATTTGTAGTGGCTGTACTCCACAGGCCATGCACCACATTTCAAACCTCAACAACATGGTATTAATGACTAGAAGCCAGCTGTATAGCATTAAACATAGGCCAGGTGGTTTTTGTAATTCAGTGTATCTTCTAGGTGGCTTAAGGCCAGTGACAGGTGCCCTGGAGGGTACAGGAGAATGCAGGGTTTCTTTGTTCAACAACTATACCAAGATAATTTCACTGATTAGTGCTTTCCTTTACCATCTGTAGGATCTTCTCACTTCGTTATTTGGGTTTGATAACAGGGTCTACAACACTACTGGTTTTCAGTTTAAGCTAGTGATCAGTACTGGGAGTAGGAATTGTCAGCTAAATATTAAGCAGTCGATCAAACAGTTTCATTATGGATGTATCACACACATCCAGAGGGAGCCTAGGTGAGTGTGTAAAGGGAGGCATTAGCTAGCATCTATCTTTCCTGGATTCTCTGCACACTGCAGGTAGTCCATTGATTAAAAAAAAATAGTTACCTTCTACAGTTCACGAAAACCATTTGATGTAATTACAAAGATGACAGAGGAAATTAAAACAGTAAAAAGCAATGTAAAATAAAGATTAACTAGGTAGCAAAAGAAAAGATGTGCAATGAAACTGAAATAATGAAGTGCACTAAATTTAACAATGCTTTTGCTTTTCTGATATCGAACGTTAGTAAAGATAAATTGTTTCCAGGTGGCACAAAGCAAAATGTAACTAATTTTGTGTGAAACTACAAATGTGGTCACTTTGCTTTGCAGGACGTAGATAAAATAGTCACAATACCTTTTTGCCAGCAGCGCCCACACTGGCCTTCTTGATGCCTCGCACCTTCTTCATTCTGTTCTTGCGTTCCTTGCGTTGTTTCCTGGAGGTCTTCTTTTTCTCATAAAGACCATGCTAAGGGACACAAGTGTAACAAATTCAGCACTGCGGCTGAGTGTGGACAAAGATAATAATACACTAAAAGCACAGGAAAAAATACTTTCAAGCTAGAGGGGTCAACATTGGGTCATTACTGATTAGTTTTAAATAAAAATAACATCAAATAACCACACTGCACATATGTAGACATGAATAATAAACATTAAGAAAACTACTGCCCAATGAGAAAATATGGCTGTTTCAACACTGAGATGCCTGATTAAATAAAAGCTTTTAAACATATTCCTTGCTCCACCTAAGAGTGCCTGAAGTATTTTTTTAATGTTTCATCATTTTCTGGTGTCTGAGGTAAATTGTGCACAACTTGCATTGACTTCTCTTTCAATTATGCCCCTCATGCAACCTTTTTAAATGGCAAGTGCTGCGCTGCTGCATTATACTAACTACTTAACATGATGTGCAAAATGGGGCACATTCAGTAGCTCTGAAAAGAACAATATAAACCTAGGCCTTCAAGTACAAAACAGTTCACTATAACACTGCACCTGAAATCCACAACTTAAGATATTTCAGTTGCTTGCTGAGAATTTGTAAGATGGGTGAAAAAAGTATGCCTTCTGCTAAGAAATGCCAGAGTACAAAAGGAACTGTCTGATCAACATAAAACAGCCAAAGATTTCATGCACACAGCAAATGGTTCAAAACTCACCCTGGCCAGTCTGTGTTTGGGCTCATTCTTTTTAGCGTAGTCTAGGGAGTCGTACACCATGGCAAAGCCTGTTGTTTTGCCGCCACCAAACTGAGTCCTAAAGCCAAAGACGAACACCACATCAGGAGTGGTCTTGTACATCTTGGCAAGTTTCTCCCTGATTTCAGTCTTGGGGACTGTGGCCTTGCCAGGGTGCAGGACATCGACAACCTGCAGAAAATTGACAACATAAACTTCGTGTGGCAGATGATGAGAAACACAGAATAAATGTAGAGTAGAATTTGAAATCTTACCATTTGCTTCCTCTGAAGCAGCCGGTTTGTCATAAACTTGCGTGTCCTGACTGTCACTGTGTCATTCTGAAGATGAGAAGACAGTAGATCGTATTCATTACCTGACGAGTTTGTTTTCAAAAATAATCTCCTCAGCTTTAACACTATGGCAGCAACCCCCCGAAAAGATGCTCCAGAATCCTGTACAGCTCATCTCACCTGCTAGCACCATTTTTCTACACATTACAAAATATCAGCTTATCTTACAGGGAACGTTCACTTACTAACTTGGACACCTAAACGTTTCCACTGCTTCAAATCAACCTTTTTTGCCCAAGAGTGTCTCGGGTTTAGTATTACTTGAATTCAACATTCCCATTCACCTAATCTTAGGGCCTACACTGCAGTGAGAAGTTAACGTTATGCTAACATTAGCAGCTAGGGACTGTACCTCCATAAATTAGCCTCCAGTTTATTTATAAAAGCAACAGCTTGCATTTTAGCAACTGTGTATACTAAACAGACTGCGTATTAAACAGAAAGATATTGTTGTACTCGGTACTTTTTACCATACTGACTCTGAGAGACGAGGCAGTCCAAGTAACTACAAAACAGTGCTGATTTATTCCATGAACACAGGTAAAAATTAACATTACACGCTCAGGCATCTTGCACCTCCAACCTGCACGCAGGCAGATGAAAGACCCTGAACCCACCAGGCCTATACATTATATCCCCTCGGTTGGGCTAGCCCCATACTACACAGAAACATCAACCGAGACGTCTCTGTAGCCAGCTTTGCAGCTGGCCATAGCAGTAGTCAAAACATGAAGCAAATGTGTGTGTGTGTCTGTTGATTAAGTGGTGTGTAGCTAAAAACATTCTCAGACGACCTCTAGTGACATGTCATGACATTAAACATAAGAACATATTATGGCTAAGGCTACAGTTATACACGTCGTAATAATCTCCACTAAACATTTCTAATACATAAAGTATCTAACCAATATCTGACTAAAAATACCTAACAATATGAAGACAGTGTTTATAAGCTTCAAACAAGGTAAATAGTGTGTAAGGTTGCACCGACAACTCTGATATTTGTATGGTGCCGATGAATTTCCTCTGATACTTTCGTGGTACATCAATATTCATATTTTATTATAAAACAGACTTAAAGGATCACTTAAACTGCATTAAACATGTTTCTATCAATGGATGAACTTGATGATCATCAGATTTTATTTGTAACTTTGTCCACAAGACTCACCATCTTTACGCCGGCCTCGCTCAGGGACGTAGAAAAGGAGGAAGGACCAGTAGGCGACCAGATTAATGCCTGCAGAAAATTGAGTGGCGCTACCTCTCTTGCCTGATGCAAAAAAAAAAGTCTCGGTAAACAAATGTATAATCGCCGTGAAAAGAAACGTGTAACTTATAATGTATTTTTTAAAAAAGCCTGGTACGTCTCCTTTTCACCAGACTCTTGATGTGACGTTTGATCACGGGCTACTGTAGTTCTCTTACATGTGTTCAGTATATAAATCGTCGCTAAATCTTCAATTTTATGTAATCTCAGTTGGAAGTTTATTATGTACATCTAGCTGAAACGAATCTTTTACAAATACTCCAGCAACAGTTACTTCCTTCATGAAGTTGAGAATTTTCAGTTTTTACTGAAACCGTTTTAGAAAGGTTTTGATTCAACTCGATGATGCAAACACCAACTACAGTTCATCTTACACCCACAAGACATTAGTATTACAACTTCATACTGAAGCCAGTGAATTCAGAACAAATCGAAGAATGCCACACTATTCACTGTTACACTATTCAGGTAATCAATATTAACGAAACTTAACTACAGACTGTAATCACCACAGATATTATAGGTTGTAATTTTGATGGAGGCCTACACATGGTCACATTCAATTGTTGATGGCCCCTATGGCTAAAACTAGCTTTTGGGTCCCTGGTGACCCCCATCTTAGGTTGACTGGTGTCTCTAAATTGCCCATAGGAGTGCGTGTGTGTGGTTGTTCGTCTATGTGTTAGGGATTGGCTCCGCCCCCGAATGATTCTGCCACGTTTCCTGTCAAGGAGCTCAACACATACACCAAAGAGTCAATAAAATTTCCTTTGTTACAGAACTTTATTGATCCTGCAGCAACAGTGTCCACTGGCATTGGAGTTTCATTAAAATAAAGTTATTTAAAATCAGAACAAAGTTACTGTAATTTTGTTTCAAATCTCTGTCCACACACAATGTTAAGCCCTCACTGCCAATCCAAACTGATTTGAAATACATTTGCAATCTGAATTATTGATGCCATAATATAGAGTTTTAGGCCTATCACCAGAAATGTGCAATGCAAACCAGGTTTGAGTGACCCTTTGACGCATTTGTCATCAAACACGGCCAGAGTTGATTAAAAACGAAAACAAAACAACTCTTTGATAGACATCCTTTCACCCATTCAGAGGTTACAGAGAAACAAACTCAAACTTCAATCAATCAATCAAAAACCCTGGTGATTTACTTGCCAAGCTCAGAGCTGTTACTGGCACAGGGTACAATTAGCAGAGAGGACAATGATTACTGTGGTGTAAAAAAAAAAAGAAAAAAAAAACTAATGGGACTAAATTAGCATGTATCACTCTTAATGACATCAATATCTGAACTTCAGAATCCCAGAATGACATGTATGCCATCACACTTTCAAACTTCACAGCTGCTTCAGAAAGGAAACTGTATAGGAAAAAAAAAACAAACCCAAAACATTTTTTGCTCATTTGCAAGGTACAATGTTACTTGTTCAATGTTCAGTGTAAAAATAAACATCTGTTGGAAAGTACAAATTGATGACAAGGAACCCAATTTCATTTACTGCATTTCATCAAAAGTAAGGCATGGGCAGACATGACACACGAAAAAGAGTGTAAAATGATTTAAGGACACTGGGGACAGAGTTGTAGAATAAGGGACAGCGTCTGTCACATTTTCTGGCTCCTTGACATGTCTAACAAATCCAAGGCTTGACAGTGTCCAAACAAATACCCTCAATACTTAGAAACTGTATTAAAAAATAAAATGCATATAAAACATCTGGATTTTTTTCAAGTTTCTCAAAAAATTTGTATTTCACCTAAAAATTAACATTGCGATATCAACCATTTCCACATAGTTCTAAATGTTTATTTGGTCTGTATATTCAAAATCACCTGACAGATGTTGCTATGTATGACCTCTTGTGTTAGTTACCAAATTATGAACACAAAGCTCTTGCCAACACAACAAACCAGTTAAGTCAAATCTGGAGAAAAAGGGTATTAACTTTTCTTGGCAAGAGACAAATGTGTAAATAACATTTAAATCAAGGTCATGATAGTGATAAACCAAGGTCCTTGATACTGTTATACTATACTGAAATTTCATTCTAAATGAAAAGCATGTTTTTAATTGCCTGCTTCATAATACGTTTAATAATAACGGGAAATACAATCATTTGATGATTACAAAAATAAGTCATGGCCTAAAATTCAGGTAAAAATGTTTCCCCTGAAATTGGAAACTCACCTAGGCTTGTGTTGGTAATGGAAACTTAAATCCTGGAATGGCATGAACTCCTCATCTAATTGGAAAATAAAACATGGCATCTCTTTACATACCATTATGGGAAACCAAACAATTGATAATCAATTGTGGAGCCTTTCAAGTAGTTCCAACCCCCCCTCCCCAAAAAAATAGTCACTTAAATAACATGCTTACAACGATCTTCAAAACTAAAGACTGTGATGAATATCAAAGCTTTTGACTGATTCCAAGGCTGGTACTAAAATTACCACTTCCTTCCCCAGTTATATTGAAATATAATCAGTTTTACAGGGTGCTCTGTTGAGGATCCTGACATTGAAAGCTATAAAATTAGCACTGCAATCTACTAATTGACCAATGTGTCTGGGTACATAATTTTCAGGCCTGCTCCCTTGTTGTGTGGCTGTTTGTACAGTGACCGGTAACCATGGAAATCTATTCAAATAAACCTAATTTCCAGAGTTGGCCTCACCATACTTTTATGTATGACATAATGAATCCCCATGGTTTACACACATTATATCCAGCGGTGAGACAGAGAGCTAAAGAAGATGGCTGCCATGAGGGCTCGCAACATTGGTTTCTACAAGCCAAGCCACTAGCACATGTGATGCCAGGTCATTTGCTTTTGCTGGTGTGGTTCCATTTCAATTAGATGTCCATTTCAAACTGAGCGTCATCACCTTGAAAAAAAAAAAAAACAACAACAATAAAACAGATGACAAGGTGCTGAAACACACCCAAAACAGACTCAATTGTTTTATTATCTTAGAGGTAATTAAATGGAATTGTTACTTTCTAAATAATTTCTTTTTACCCACTATAGAGTCTAGTGATACTCAAATCACGTCCCATTCCCTAGCAATTATGCAAATTGCGGAGGATGCCTTTTCAGTCACAGTCACTGTTTCAATCTTATAGCTGACAAGATGTTTTAAATGACAAATGTCAGTTCAGAAAGTGTGTGGGTGGGGGGGGGAGAGTATAGTAGAGAGACACCACATCCTGTCCCATTTTAGTGATTTGTAAATTCTTAGTTAATACAGCTTTAAGAACAACAGAGGGAGTGTTTTTCACAGGTTCGGGCAGAATGGGGATGGTGACTATACCAATGAACACTTCCTTTTACACAAGTTTGTTACTCAGTTCATATTACAAGTCTCACCAGTTGTGGGCTTGCCATCATGGTTGTTGATGTGGTTGTTGGCTTCATTCTTCTGGTTCTCACTCAGGACATTCTGGCTTGTCACTCCAGGGATGACAGGCAGATGAGCTGGGGGGGTCTGAGCGATGGGAGCATTACGCCGATCCAGTAGGAACTTGCGATCATAGATAATGCGGGTTCCTGTAACAGGATATGTATATTTCAGATACATATGGACAGAAGTACCTAGCCTAAACTGTGTTGTAAAGCATGAGTGGCCATCCAGTTTGTCTGCAGCCATCTTTCTTTCTGTCAACAACCAGCTCATTGTGTTATTTGCTTTCTAAATAAATGCAGTAAATCTGGATGCCATCACACCACACTTGTTTTACTGACTGCTCCCAAATGAATTAGACCTCGCTGACCTTTTTCACAGAAGGCATTTTGACTTGTCAAGAACTGCACAGGTGAATAATAACGATGGCTCAGTTCCAGCAATCATTGCAGTGCAATGCAGCAATTAATTTTTTATCACCAACACCTGTGTTTGTCAGATCAAAATGTGTGCTGTGAAGGTCTTTGCAGCTTTAGTTTCATTTTAGACTTTTTCCCCCTCTGGATATGGACATGCTCCCTCCAGTGCAGACTTCATTTATAAACAACTTTCTCAAATAAGTGTATTTGGGCTACTGACAGAAAATTAAATGTCAATCTTGATAATCAATTCATGATGTAAGGCATTTTTCAAGCATTTTTCTTTCGTTCCTGCTTGTCTAATATGACAATTTCCTACTTTTTTGTGTTTTATTTCATGGTGAACTGAATATCTTCAGGATTTGGACTGTTTGTCAGACAAAGTGAAAAGAGATCATCTTGGACTCTGGGGAACTATGATTTATATATTTTGATATTTTACAGACAAAGCAATCAATTAGTTAATTGATAATAAAAGTGACAGACAAAATTCCAGCTACATTCAGTTGACATTACATATCCCTGTCCTGCAGTAATATGTATAGAGTACCCTGGCTAGATTTACATATTTGGAAACGGGTTCAGTGCACCTTGGCATTAACTCTATAGTCTCTGAACTCTACTAGAAGGATGAACACCATTTATCCAAAAGGTATTCCCTTATGTGGTGTTTTGATGATGGTGGTGGAGATACTGCCTAATATGTCTGTCCATAGTCTCCCATAGGTGTTCAACTGGGCTGAGATCTAGTACCTGTGAAGGCCCTAGCATATGATTCACATGCTTTTCAAACTCAGCAAACCATTCAGTGATTCTTCTTGCCCTATGCACAGGGGGAGCATTGTCATCCTGGAAGAGACTGACCCCCATTAGAATGTTTCATCACAGGTTAAAGATGATCACTCAGAACAACTTTGTATTGATTTGCAGTGACCCTTACCTCTAAGGGAACAAGTGGACCCAAACCATGCCAGCAAAATGTCTCCCACACCACTGTAGGGATTAAGCATTCAGGTTTTTCCTATATTTGCTTTAGGCTGCAGGTCATTAGTCATTGGTGGCAACCCAAACATGCTCACCATCTTTAAAGCTCCTCTACCCAATTGCTTTTCAGAGGCTCTAATGAGACCCAAAACAAACACACTCCAAAGCCACTCCTAACTGCTCCCATCACATCCCGTTTCCTTGCTGTAAACTACAGATGCCTGGTTGTGACATACTGTACAAAATGCTGCCTCCAGTCCAAAGCTAGTGTTAGCTGACTAATAAGTAAATTTGGCAATCCAGCAGGATGCTTTGGTTACTGCTAATATGGCAGAAAGCACAAATTACTCCAATTAATTCAATACAAAGGCAGAATCAAGACCATGATAGGTCACTAATAGCTCTAAAAGAAAGATATCTGAGCTGAATTTAAGTACTTTCGCTGCTTTCAACACTTTCCAACTCAAAGAGCCAAAGTGATGTTAACCCTAGTATTTCCTCTGTACAAAAGCCTGCAACCTCTATGGTCTAACAGCTACTCTTTCGGACTTTTAGCCAAGGAGAGGTCCCTGAGGGCTGACTGTTTGAAATGGCCACTCATGCTTAGAAAAACTCTTCTTATAACCTTTGCTATGTGGTAGGCGGGGCCAATTTACTGACCATATTTTGAAAACAGGCTAGATAAGTTGGAATGACAACAGATGAGCTCTAGAAACCAGACTGTCATGGAGGGGGGTAGGATGGCAGAGAGACACCACGTCCTGTCCCATTTTCACTTGATTTATCAAACACTGTGTAAATCTTAATTAATGCACCTTTAAATATAAAGATTGTAGTAAGTGGCAATGTACACATCCGCATCGCTGCGCTGCAAACCAGCCAATCACACAGCAGCCAGAGAGCACGGGGGCGGGGCTAAGCTTTGTTTTTGTTTTGAACAGGATGACAAGGCAGCCTAGGCCACAGTTACAGGAACACCGACAGGTTTAGTGAGAGCAATAACACCATAAACGCTAATCACCCTCCAATTTCTTCAAAAATATGACAATGCCGATGGGCTGCCTTCTTACCTCCAGGAGTGGTAGAAAATAAAGTGCCTCCAGGGGTGGTACAATAATCATGAGGTAGCTGCGTTGTGTCGTTGATCAACACCGTCCTAGTCGGGATGGCCCTGCTCTCGCTAGACTGACGACTGGTCGACATTTTCGGCGCCGATTAGGTTACAAATCTAGCAGCTACAGAAAACTGGGGTGTTTATTTCCCGACGGACGGTGGAAACCCGGGCCGTTCCCCACTCGCTTTTATCGTCCCAAAAGCTTTCTTGTCTCTCCTTTCGTCCTCCCAGCCGTCAGCACCGTTCTCTCCCTCAGCAAGGCAGGAAGCACGACCAACTGCGGGCGGATATGACGTCACCGGCGCGGATGTCATCAGCAAAAGGAGGTCGGGCCACTTCCTATAGCGTACTTTTTTAGTTAATAAATAAATACAAAATAAATGAATTAATGTCCATTTGGGCTACGAAAGTATTCTAGAAAATAAAGAAATATTTTGCTACTCAAACAATTATTATTACAATTAGGCATATTTTGGAAACCAAAGGAAAAAAAAAACTGACTCTTAACCTATTAATCTTACTAGGTAATAAATAGCAGAATAGTAATAAAATGAGACAGAGAGGTTAGTTAGCCAGTTTAATGGATAACAATGAATGCTCAAAAAAAAAGAAAAAAAAAAAAGAGACAAGCATTAGTTTCAAACATTACTCTGTTTAATTCAATGCTATTAATTCCAGGAAAGGTTTTACTTGTCCATGCCTATTAATAATGAGCACATTTACATTGTCATCAAATATGTTAGCAACAAACTCAGGAGGCTACTGCTTTTCGGTAAGACACAAAAAGAATTCCAAAAGAACAGCTGGTTCTAATATACAGGCTCAAAAAAGTAGTATGCAGTCATAACACAGCCTATTTATTAATAGGTAACAAAATCCACTAAATTTACATCTCTGCTTGACATTCCCTCATTGCACAGTTTAGAGCATTGCATTGACTTTTGGTTTCATTTCAGTGATTTGTGGATTTATGTACCATTTTATTTAAAGACAGGATTCAACGATCTGTGAGGGAATAATATAATAGCCAAGCAGGGACAATGGCTAAGTGATAATTTCACTGTTCTAGAAATGCCACATAATATAATAGCCAAGCAGGGACAATGACTAAGTGATAATTTCACTCTTCTAGAAATGTCAAAAACCCACCACACCAAAAGAGACAATATTTCCTTAATACATTGATAACCATTATATGTACCATATTACAACCCTGATTATATCTGCTTATCCATAACCTTTTTCGTGAATTCTGTTGTATACCCAATTCACTCTTCCACGCATACTTATATTTATGATGGTATCTTTTTAATCGTTTATCGAGTTCTATATTTCCGGTAGTTCCTGAAGGCGTCGTAGACAAGGTGCGCATGCGCTCTGCCCTTTCTGCCTACCCAGACCTGTTCAGCGTTACACGGTTTTCCGCCGAAATCCTCCATCCCGATTCCATACACCAAAAGACGGTCTTTCACCAAATCATGAGCTTCACAGTGGAAGACAGGGGAAGCCCCAACTCCCTGAGCTATCGCTTGTTCTTCAGTAAGTACCATCAGTAGAAATAAAATTCTGTCTTTGCTACTTTGAGGACTTTCTTCAAATCCCACAGGCCAGGTGCAATCTCCCGCGTGTCATTCATTGAAGTATTTTTTCTGGTTTATTCAGCATGTTAGACATACTGGAAATTACAAGCAAATATCCACTTTGTTTCGATATTACTAATAGCTCGGCTTACGCCGGTTACGTCAGCTAGTTGTGCCGGTTTTGCCATTGGGTTGCACTCGTGGCAAGTAGGGTGGCATGATTTCTGAAATACACATCTCTTCTTCGACCGACGTCGATATTCTTACCTGAATGTTGCAGAAGGAAGTTGGTTGTTTCTGGAAATCTCGCAAGCAGGGTAGACACGTAATCCAGTTTTATAGGATAATAAGGCTGGATTGGATTTAGCGGGACAGCGCCCTCTCTTATTTTGAAATGTCGGTAAACGCAGAGATGTTCCTTGCGTGACAAAATGCTCTCTGCGTCAGAGATTGTTGATAATCGGTGCCTACATCCTGTACCTCCATCATAGTTTATTGTCATGGTTCATAGAGTTCAAGTCACTAGTTTCATCAAAATGCAAGACTTAAAAGTTATCAGACTACAGGCCATAGTCATTACAATAATATGGCATCTGGTAAAATAAACCTTCATGATCAGCCAGTGTTGTATGAAAAGTACCTGTAGGCATTGAGCTTTACACCTATCAGGATGTAATTTAATGAATATTTGTGTGCTAAACTCTTCCTGCCAGTTCTAGTAGGCTATGTGCTGTGCCCTAGATTGGGCACTGAACTGCAAATGGATAGAACCAATGAAAAATACACTTTCTCATAATTCTTTCTATACAGCCAAAATGTGTCAAAGGTAATCTGTTTTTAGACTGGATCAACAAGCGGGCGTATTGTCATAGCAAAACCGAAAGTGGAAGTAAGGGATGATGAAAACCCGTGGAACATAATTACCCTGGTGTAGGTGTCTTAGCTATTGAGAAAAGAGAGATATGACTAAGTTTGTATCTGCCTGCCCTATTCATAGTGTTTAATTGAACTGTTTTACAGAAAATGCTGAAGGAAAGTACATCTCGCCATTTCATGACATTCCAATATATGCGGATGAGAGTCAGGTAACAAAGCATTTGTCACATCTACCCCATTAAATTTGTAAATATGTGTCTGGCCTTTAACTCCACTGGTTAATGAGAAGCTGCAGTGCTGCAATTAATATGTAATTTTGCAGCAAAGTAAAGATATTGAACAGATGTAGCAATTACTCTGCAGAATAGTAAGGTCATAGTCTATTTCCAAAGGCAATGGCCTTTACCCTACTTTGTCAGTGCTGTGCCAGTATCTCTTGTGATAGCAGATTCTCTTATCTTATCCTTCTCAAATATTTAATCTTTCTTATGAAAAAGTTGTGACCACATTAGAAATTAAGTAAAAGCCAGGGTGTAGTAGATCACGTAAGCATGGTGTGTTTTCAAATTGTGTTATCTTCACCTGTGTTAGATGCTATTACACAATAAATAAAAGATAATTATGGCAGATTTTTGTCTCTTACAGAACATCTTTCACATGGTTGTTGAAGTACCAAGATGGACAAATGCAAAGATGGAGGTATGAATTTGCAATAACATTCTATCCTTGCCTTTTAGATCAGAATTTCGCAGCTTCACCATAGCTTGTTGGTAGTGTATTTATCAGTCAGTAGGTTTTCATAAACCCATTGCTCATATAGAGTAACACCTTCAACACTTAAAAGAACATGTAATGTCAGATGAAAGTTAAGACAGATTAAACAACATGTAATGTCAGATGAAAGTTAAGACGGATTAAACAGTGCTTGAGATTTACTATCTCTAGCACTGTCATTATTAGGATAATGTGAATGTAATTGGAATTTAGTCAGGCACATTATTTTATGGCAGCTGGGTGTGAAGTTCCTCTAATTCAATAAGGCATCATGATTGCCCTCTTAACATAAATAAAGTTTGTATTTCCAGCATTAATCGTATCTTTAAAAATGACAGCAGTGCAATTTATTTTCAGATTGCCACAAAAGACCTCTTGAACCCAATAAAACAAGATGTAAAGAAGGGCAAGTTGCGATACGTTGCCAATGTTTTCCCACATAAGGGCTACATATGGAACTATGGAGCCATCCCTCAGGTTAGTCTTTTGTCTTAAGGATTTTCTGATGCTCATACATTATCCTAAAAATTGATTTTCTGCATTAGGCCTTAGTTTAAAAGTGTGCAACAGCAAATGTTTAGTGGTTTTATTAAATTCTGCTATTGTGTTTTAGACATGGGAAGATCCTGCACACAAAGATAGAGACACTGACTGCTGTGGTGACAATGACCCCATTGATGTCTGTGAAATCGGCAGTAAGGTACAACACTGGCAGATAACTTTACAGTTTTACATGTACTGTATGTCAGCCATGTTTTACAGAAAGATTAGGTCGTAGTGATACTTTTATTTTATTGTTTGTCAACATTAATATAATGGGACATGAATAAAAGTGCTGATGCTCCCTCTGAAAACTACTCTTACTGAAAACTCAACTGCAGTTGGAATTGGCCTTCCCAGGTGTGTTCCCGTGGGGAGGTAATCAAAGTGAAGGTGCTCGGGATCCTGGCCATGATCGATGAGGGTGAGACTGATTGGAAAGTGATTGCAATTAATGTAGACGACCCCGAAGCCAACACTTTGAACAGTAAGCACTTCAATGTATTTAACCCCTTCTTTTTTTCTCTGCACATCTGAACAGTCTTACTCATTTTGTGATGTTGTCCCTGTCTATATTCAGACATCACTGATGTCCAGCGCCTGAAGCCTGGCTATCTGGAGGCCACAGTCGACTGGTTCAGGAGGTACAAAGTGCCAGATGGGAAACCAGAGAACCGGTTTGCTTTCAATGAGGAGTTCAAAGACAAGGTTTCCACCTAACACACCTTATTTATTATTATTTTTACTCTTACCAGCAATTTTAGATTAATCTCACGCTCAAGTTTCTGATTTGTCAGAGTTGCCTTGTTCCCTTTTTCACAGTCAGCCTACCCTGCATGCAAAGCGTATAGAAAATGAGTAAGATATACAGTAATCATGTAAATTTACTCTTCACTTGAACTAGAATTATACTGTATATACATTAGTTGGTTTTTTTTCCTTGCAAAAGTCTTAGTTAGAACTCTCAACTATGCACTTACTCATTTATGTGTTTCAGGACTTTGCCATTGAAGTAATCAAGAGCACTCACACCTTTTGGAAAGCGCTCATATCCCAACAGACCAATGCTGGTGAATTGAAGTGGTAATAAATGCTCTTTTTCTTACTGGTTTAACTACAGCTAAAAACATAGGTGCTTTCAGACCCCTGAACTGTACTGTATATATTTATGGCTTCTTGACTATAAATTGCGATTTTATCACACAAAACAGCAAGAACACGTGTGTCTCGGCCAATGACAGCCCTTACTGCTGCTCAACAGATGAAGCTAAAGCTGTTGTTGGTGATGTAAGTCACCTTTTGTTCATCACTTTTTTGCAGCTTAACACCAGACCTAGTTCCTTTGTGAATACTAATGTTTCACTCTATGTTTTAGACATGTCCTTGTGGTAAAGAAGAACCTATCCCCTGTTCAGGTATAATTTCATTATATCTCTGTGTCAATAATACCTAGATTTTTGGAAGTACAGCTATAAACCTGAGATTGACTGTTCTGCTTTTTTCCATTCACAGTAGATAAATGGTTCTACTATGAAAGGAAGTAATGCAGGAGCTGTATTTGGACTGGACTGCAGTGAAAGGCTCACCTCTCACAGGAATGCTTAAAGATGTTCTTACATTAGGAATCAATGGGATGACGGGATGGGACAAGGATGGTTGGGTGTGGGTTGACTGTTGTCCTGTAGATTGACAGGTAGTGGTGAGATACTGTAGAGAAAGACAAAAGTTAAAGTACTCATGTCTTGACCAGTGAAGTTTCACTTATTTAATAATGATCTCATTAGAGATGTGTCATTAAAAGTACAGATACTGTGCCTAGTAGATACTTGTACCCTGTATGAGACTGAGCTGCTTTAATAAAGCTTCCCTGGTTAAATTATCAAAGTGTGATTTTTATTCTCCCCAAACACTGGAAAAAATAATTGCCTAGCACTTGTTTGAAGACTTTCCTCAAAACTAGTAGCAGGGCACTTTAGTTTCTCTGTTCTTGCCATGACAGCTTTAGTGAGCAGAGCTTCTACTGTGGCAGGTGTGTGGAAAAAGAAGAACAGATTAGATTTATCTTTGTAAACACTCCATGCTGTGAACTCAACTTATCTCATTGTTATAATACTGCCGCCTAGTGTTTCTTGTCCCACATTACCTGTTTGCCATGTACAATAATACAGTGTGTTTGCAAGTATACTTGCTCCTTTAGCTTAAATGTTTGTCATAAATGTTATGTGTTATTGTCAGACTTCTGTGCCTCATTTTCCTATTCATAACAACTGGTAAACAGCAAAAATGTGTGTGTGTGTACAATCCAAGCTAACATGTACACAGAAAAGAATAAAGAACAGTAAAGAAAAAGGAGAAAATGGTCAATTGCATTCCAGACTACTTTAAAATCGATAACATTTAATTGTGTAGATACTGTTTTATGTTTATGGCACAAGTATAAACTCTTAGAGGAAGGTAGTGCATCTCAATATTTAAGAAAATATTCGTAATGTTGTAGATATTTGTAACATTCACAATGCATAAAACTGGTTTTATTGTGTATTCCGTTGTAATTAACAGTTTATGCTAATACATATTTTGAAATGACTTGTAGGTAAATGTATGTTTTGTTTTGTGTTGTGGTATGAAACTAAAAATCAACGTATAAAACTTAGCTAGAAAATGTTAAATGGTAAAGAATATGTTAATTTTTCTTCATTCATAACCACTGACTACATTAATATCTTTACTGGCTTAAGCCCGGTCCCTCCCACTTAGTGACGTATTTCCGGTTAACTGTCAAACTTAGAGGCTGCGTGTTAGTTGAGTGGACGCGCTTGGACCAAAAACCAGCGAACTGGGAGCTCATTTGTTCGGCAGACCAAGGTAATGGTACAAATTTTCTGTGACGTTTACTTTACTGTAGTCTCCACATTTTTATTTGAGTCATATTTTCTGCTTTTAGAACCACTTTCCACTATATTGATTTAGTTTTTCGTTCTGGACCGCTTTGCGCGCTCATGTTATTTACTAAATTTATCATTGTTTAACATTACTGTATATCAGTTGCTAACAGCTGATGTCGTTAACTACTAGCTACATGGCATGAGCCGAACTGTGGCAGCCTAGCAGGAGTCGTGAAATCAGTGGAACAATCGTTTCTGAGGATCTCAATCATAAGTTTAACGGACTTTTGTGTTATTTGTGTATATTTGATTCTGAATACGAGTTGCACAAAACTTGCCATTTATTGAATGCCGACATTTTAGATGGTTAATTGAGTATGCATTATAGTATCAGATCCATATACTTAGGAACTAAATGACATACTTTAAAAATTGAGTTTGGTGTTTGATGTAGTAATCAGAGCTTCACTGTTCGCTTTTCAACCACATTAAGCTCTGCAGAGAGTGACAGGTGTGTATGTGTATGTGTGTGTGTGAGTGCCAAAATCCAGTATCCTTCGTCACAACCTGTAATAAAAATAGTCACAAGGAAGATCAGTGTGACACAGTGAGGCAACTCTGAGGATAAGCTAGCATCTAGAAGTCACCTAAAACCTGTTTGTTGCTTAGTTTGCTCTCTTTTCCTTTCATGCTTTAAAGCTTGTGTGATTATATGGAGCTTACACATACCAGTAGAGTAATCCAGGGTCAGGAATAATGAGCCGCGGTGCTTGATTTTGTAATGCTTTTGTAACAGTACATTACACATATTTTATAACCTATTCTAGTTATTTGCCAAAATGTGCTGGGTTGTTATTTGGGACACATTTCAATTTACTCGTGTATGTGTATGAGGGATGTGAGGCTAGATTAAAATATAACCTGAACTAAACATTGACTAATGCCTTATGTGTATATTGCGGTGTTATTCTTTAATGTGCCATAATAAATACATTCAGTTTTCTGTATTACAGGCAGTTGGTTGAAATGTCTTTTATATTTGACTGGATCTACAGGAGCTTCAGCAGTGTCTTGCAACTATTAGGTATAGTGTATATTGTAAATATTAACCATATTGGTCAACCTTAACCACCACAGCCTGGGTCATACTAAAGAAATTGCCATTTGTCAACCAGAACATCTGCATTGTCCTATTTGACATTACTTTCCTCTACCCCAGGCCTATATATTTTATGTTAATGTTATCTTTTACATTTAGGCATTTTTACCAATTCCAGCTCAAATACTCACAAATGTACAAATTCTATATACATTGTTGGTATTATTTATATTGTTAAAAGCTAGATACCTATAAAAGTATATAAATATGTAATAACAGATTTACTATCACTTCAGTGGCAAATACTGGCTAAACAAACAAACAGACAAACAAACAAAAGCTATTTGGTGTTTGTAATGACTGTGGGGCCTCTGTCATCCTTCATCAAAGCTGAATTAGAAAAATAATACATATTAATCATTTATAATGAATTTGTATTCAATTAACAGAAGTTGTTTTTTTTCTCCTCATAATCAGGGTTGTACAAGAAGACTGGCAAGCTTGTGTTCCTTGGACTAGACAATGCTGGAAAAACAACACTCCTGCACATGCTCAGAGATGACCGGCTAGGACAGCATGTGCCAACACTACATCCAAGTACATTCAACAGTTTGACATGTTGCCAGATCACCTGCTAGCCTTATGTCTCTTGCTTCATCACTTATCTAAAGTCGGTGCTTCCCCTCTGTTCTCAGCATCTGAGGAACTGACTATTGCTGGGATGACCTTTACGACCTTTGACCTTGGAGGTCATACACAAGGTAGGAATGAAGAAAGTCTTGCTGAACCATGCATAAAAAGTTGTAATAGTGCTTAGCATAATTTTCACATAAATGCTGAAACTGTGTGGCTCCCACAGCACGAAGAATCTGGAAGAACTACCTCCCAGCCATAAATGGTATAGTCTACATGGTGGATTGTGCTGATCATGATCGACTAGCAGAGGCTAAAGTTGAACTAGATGTGAGTCAGTTATATTGATTTTATTTAGATCTTGACACATGCCACGGATGTTTATGAACATATGACACTTTCTGTCTGCAGGCATTATTAACAGATGAAACCATCTCCAATGTCCCGGTTCTCATCTTGGGGAATAAGATAGACCGTCCAGAGGCCATCAGTGAGGATTCACTGAGAGAAATGTTTGGTGTTCATGGGGAAACAACTGGAAAGGTACACATATGGGATTAAATGATATGATTGAAAAGTCATATTTTTTGTATACCGTTTGCATCCATCTGCATGGTGTTAAATGGTAGAAACACTAAAACTGCATCTTTGCTTTAGTTAGACAATCTAATTTCACTGTTTTATGATTTCAGTTTATAATACATTTGAGTTTGTGTTGCCTGGACATTTTCACTGCTTACTAACAACAACAGTAAGCTTCACAGTTCTTGCACAGCCAGACCTAACTACCTTTTAGGACAGAATAAAAGTGTTATTGCACCTACTGTCATTCTGGGATAGCTGAAAACAGCAATGTTGAAATTTCTAATGCAAATTTGAATTGGCAAAGGCAGGCCTAAGTGTGCTTAAATTGCCACTGCTGTTGATAAATGCAGTGGGAGTGAGGGCCAATGCGCTATTAAGAAGCATTTAGCACTTTATCCATCTTATGCACATATTTCATCACTGGTGTTAACCATCCACTGTTGGCACAGCTCTCTGAGTGTCACACTACAGTATGCTCTATGCGCTGTTGTGTAACATACAAAGTTGCGGGTTTAAGACGCTGATTGTATGCATTCTATGTCCACAGTTAAACTGTTTGTTAATTAAAATCTGTGCATTTAGATGTCTGTTTTGGTTTCTTTTCAGGGCAAAGTATCTTTGAAGGACTTGAATTTGAGGCCAATGGAGGTTTTCATGTGCAGTGTGCTGAAGAGACAAGGATATGGAGATGGTTTCCGCTGGCTTTCACAGTATATTGACTGATTTGCGTTCTTTTAATAACTTTAACTTTTGCCTGTGCACAGAGACACATTTTCCACACAAAACTACAGCCAGCAGAGAGATATATCTGAATAAATATACTATGTTTATAACTTTAACTGTGCCATTAGGAAATTGGTTTCGGGTGGTGTTTTGGTGTTAGTGTACCCATTTTTTTTGCTGTATTCAAAGAAGTCTGTATGACAGTATCAGTCATACCACACTGTGTCAAAGAAAGGTTTTGAATCATGATTTTGTGTTATTCTCATTGAGAATAATTGTCTTCTTTTTTCTACCTTAACTTAAAGCCTGTAGGGAGTTGTGTCTGCTGTATAGAACATGCTGTGAACCAGTTTCTGACCCACGTTATTTTTAGTTGCTGGTGTTGACTTACAGTGAAGGTCAGTTTGGTTAACATTCTATGCTTGGAGTTACTCATCCTTGATGGGGGATTAAAAACCTTTGTCAGTGCAGATAAAACATTAGATCCATATATTTATCATGTTTCTTTAAGATTAATTGTAGCTCTTTTAAATACAAGAGCTAAATAGTTTTTCTGGAAGGTGTGGCGGAAGCTTGCTGCCATATTTGCTAATGAGAAAAGTGTTTATACAGTAGCCTGCTACCTACTGATTGGTGACAGTTTTGCTGATTGCATGTTTTTTGTTTGTTTTAGTCACTGAAAGGTTTCCCACTACCAATTATATGAATGTGACCACCAGTGCATTAACTGACATTTTGCTGTGAGGAACTTTAATACCACAGAAAGGTATTAAATAATTCAAGTATATTGTAGCTGCATCAGCACAGCCAGGTGATGTAACAACTCATACTCATCCACAGAGAAGATGCAACACTACCAATTTTTCCTGATCCATACTTGCTGTTAAATGACTTGAGTACTTTGTGATCAGTTGCTGCTGTCAGCAGACAGTGATACTATGAGAGTACTTGGGTGGTACATATAACAGGGCATGCAAAATATATGCATGACATTACTTTTAGTGCAATACTATACAGTATATTGTATATAAGCTCTTATTTATATTTTGCAATAAAAAGTGACTTGCCTTGTGTTACACCAAGCATCAGTCTATGAAGTTATGTGTCTGTTACAAAAGGCAGGCCATATTGTTATTAAAAATGCAAAGTTTTAAATAAACTTTTTTGTGAATAAATATTTTGCATTATAATTTACATTCATCAGCTATACACAGTAAGTATAATGTTACAAAAATAGTTGCAACAAAACAAAACAAATCAAAACAAAAAAAGCCCCACAATAAAAGACTAAGATCTGATCAGAAATAATAAATACTTTTGGTAAATATACCGGACTGTTTTATGTACTTTTCTGGTTTAGTAAAAGAGAATAACAGTAAAAACATAACTGGAAAAAGATACCAGAGTTCGACCTTTTTTTGCATTAAAACTCTTAATTTTACAGCTTGTTAAAACAGGTGAGTGAGGGTCCCTTTCAAATACAGATTTTTAAAAATTATTCCAAAAGCATTGTAGTGTAAGTTAAAGTAAAAAATATTAATTCTAGAATTTTATTGTTGGTGAGACAAAATGAAAATTGTTCGATACTATGGAAGCCATAGTACTTTAGGGGAGAACGTGTAGTAAAACTGGCAAATATAATCCCGTCTCCTTCTTTCCCATTGATTCGGAGATGTTCGTATTTGGATTCTGTCCAATCACATTAATCGTCTGTTTTCGTGGACCAATGAGACACAACCAGGAAGCTCGACAATGTTTCAACGTAAACGCTGTTAGGAGGAATATTTGCAAAAGAAGACTAGTTTAAATTCGGCACTCTGATATACCTACCTTGTATGGATCTTTGGTGGCTTGTCTGAACATTGGTTCTCTGGCTTTTTTAATGTGCTGCTTTTAACGACATTTCTGTGTTTCTAATTTGCTAAACACCGTCACCGGACACATGTGTAAAGTTCATCTGCGCTGCTAACGGAATGGAGGTAAAGGAGGTAGACAGGTGTTGCTGTGTAGTCAAGGCGTCAGAGGCTTTTTCAGCAAAGAAATCTGTGAGTTGCAGCGGAGTTATCGTCCATCCTCAGACTGGAACTGTGATATGTACTGGCTTCCCGTTTACTCGTTTTATAATTGATAAAAAATCACTTTCCCCAAACCATAGGATCCTGTCACCGCACAGCTTCAGCGAAAAACTTAAAATCCGCGTCAGCTTTTGTAGCCGTCGAGATTTGGATGCCAACCAGTGCGTACAGGGAGAAGCATTCACACCGTCCAAAAGCAAAACAGCACGACAGCAGGAAGTTGCAGCCGAGTTGCTGATGCTGGTGAATTGCCTGGAGTTCAAAGAGGCTTTCCAGGCACTTTTCCAGGAGACTGACCAGTGGCGTTTCCATGGTGATGAAGTGGATGAGGAGCTGATCAGAGATGCTCAGTTCCTCAGCTGGTTTGCTGTACTTAAGACAGCTGTGGCAGCTGACAGTAGCCCACATTCAGGGACCATCCCCTGGCAGAGCAGCTTGTCTCTCCAGAAGGGCTGTCCGGTTGTTGCATGTGGCTCACCTTTTGGCTCCCTTTGCTTAGATCTCTTCATCAGTGCCCTCAGCAGAGGTATCATCAGTAACCTTGCTGGAGAGGAGAATGCTGTCATCCTCACTGATGCCCGTTGCTTGCCAGGCACAGAGGGTGGAGGCTTGTTTGTGGTGGAAGGTGCAGACAGCGTGTGTCTCACTGGGCTGATTGTGTCTCCATTTGGCTGGAAGGCAAATGAATGGATAGGTCTCACTTTAGTCTGCTCTGTCCACGTGATCTTCAGGAATATCATCACATGCATAAGTGGTCAAGATCTGCTCCGAGATGTTTGGCTCCATTCCGGGGTGGTAGGTCTTCACTTGTCCACCACAGCCCATGAATCAAAAGCTGTTAAATATCCTACTGTGTGCTTTGTGGACAGTGGACACTTCTGGGGCTCAGGGGTTGTAATTACCTCACAGCTAGTTGTGACCTGTCGGCATGTTGTCAGCGGGAAGTCCACAGTCACCTTGAAGTTCCATCACAGGGGCAGGTGACAGCATTTTCATTGTCTTTAAGCATTATGTCTGTACAGGAAGGGAAAATAATCTAAAAAAAAGACATTAAAACATGTTTAATAGAGAATTTCACAGCAAATACTTAGACTAGTTACAGCAGGAAAAGCACAGGTGGAACCAATAACAAAAAAAAGACAAGCTGTGTTCTGTTTAGGCATCCCATTAAACAATGTTGGTTACGTGACCATGCACAGTACCAGGGGCCTTATGCATCCAACTATCACTGATGTTATTAGATTCGCTTATGTTTTTTCAGAGTTTGTGTGCTAGATTGGCACAAGAGTAATAGAGTAGGTAATGTTTGCTGTATGTTTTGGGGGTTTGTGTTTCACAGAGTCCATGCTTGTGTGGGTGATGTGCTGTTTTCCACAAAAGCATCTTCACCATATGATCTGGCTTTGGTGCAGTTACAAACCTCCTGCCCAGAGGCTGCGACCCCTCGAATGGCCCAGAGTTTCCATCCAGGTTTGACGTCAGTCTTGTTTAATAGGGACAGTAGAACTGTTTTTCAGATAAACATTGAACTTCATATTGATTTGCAGAAGAGATCTCTGACTCTTTACACAAAAGAAACTGTTATAAGATTGTTCAGTTTAGGTTTTTCTGTCTGCAGGTGAATCTGTAGTTGTGGTGGGATATGGTGGGTTGGGTGGGAGCTGTGGTCCATCCCTGACCTCTGGCGTCCTCTCCAAAGCCATTAGCTTTAATTACCAGCCCATCATGCTTCAGACCACTTGTGCAGTACAAGCAGGGGCCAGCGGTGGTGCTCTGGTGCGGACACAAACAGGAGAGCTGCTGGGTAAGAAACCCTGCAAGTACAAAATCATGTACTCTCTTTGATCAGTGGGGGGCATATGATGACCACAGAAACCTTCACGGTAACAGTGCACCACACATGTAGAGAAAATGCTGCTATACACATCAGATTGCACTCTCTCCACTGCTGTATTTGTAGTTCTCAGGTTATAACAATTATTTTGCTATTTTTAAGGTGTCGTATCCAGCAACACAAGGGACATGGCTGCCAATGTGACCTACCCACACCTCAATTTTTGCATCCCAGTGACTGTTTTCCAGAGATTGTTGCAGCACTTTCACCAGACAAGAGATGTTGATGTGTTCAGCGCATTAGACACCGCAGAAAAAGAAGTTATAAGGGTGTGGAGGCTACAGGGTGCTCAAAGCAAACTATAACGAAGGACTTGTGCAGCCTCAGATACGTTAGAGAAAAAGGTTGAGTGACTAATCAGCTATGGACTATGTGTAAAATCACATTAGGTAATCAAATTGATATGATGTAATTTTTTTAACCAAAACTGGAGTTTTCAAATATATAACTTAATGTTGATATGCTCACATAGTCATGAGGTAAATAGTGTGAAATATTATAAGACTGCTTAAATCTTAACAGGCAAGTTACTTTAATACCTGTAATGATTGTACTGTAATGTAATTAAATTGATAAAATGGTTTATTCTGGAGACATTCAGTTTTTCCTGGGTATATATTTCTTTACAATGCCACAGGACCAGAAATGGACTTAGAAAGTTGAATAAAGTGAGAGTAATTTTTCACATTTCTCCCTGTGTATAGTCATAGAGCATCAGTAAAATGATGGCAGGAAAAAGTACATTAGGTTTCCCATGACATCTAAGCTTTATTTTACAGTTATATCATCAAGAAAAGACTGTGCACTCTTCCTGGAAGTGTGTGTTAAAATTCACACTTGGTAAATTTGGCTTGTTTTTACCAAGCAGGACGAATATTCAGCATAATAAGCTGACAGGTTGCTGAAAATGATTGGTCCCTTTGGGCAGCTAGAAAACTTGTATTCAGACATCTGTTGGCAGACATGCACGCTCACAGATAACACATTTATGGTTTCACTCATTGGGACATTAGTGGTGCTGATTTCCATTATCACAGAAATGTGAAGCTGAGAAATGACATTTCAAAGGGTTGGCTACTGTCAGTTTTCACAATGCTAAGATAAGATTTCTCAGCGTGAGCTCCTGAGGGTGAGCATACGCTGTAACATAGTATAAGATTTATGTGCTGCTGTTTGCAGACTGAATAGTTCACAATGGAGAAGCTTGAGCAATGTTCTGAGGAGGCTGAGGAGGGAGTTTTCTGTAGGCATTGTGCTGTTAAAAGTGCTGATATGCAGACATGGGTCTGGATCTGAGTGAGTAAGGGCATGCGTAGAAAGACATAACATGGGTTACCACAGGAGTGCCTCAATTTAAAATTAAGTTATATGTTTAATCAAATTTAAACTATCTTTTTTGATTTACTCAATTATAGGATAATTAGAGTTTAAATAAATTAATCTCTTTTTAATGGATTTTTTTGCACTGATTAAGGAATTTTTAAGGGAAAAAAAACATGAAAACCACCCCTGAATGTATAATTTAAGGTATAAAGTAAGGGATTTCATGGTTTTTAGTCAAATTAAGGCACATTTTCCCACCTTAGAAACTCATTAAACCATGCAAAACATTAGTTAAAAAGTAATTCATTATTAGTCCATTATTTTACCCCCTCAGTAGGCCATTAAAAATAACTTGATTTTATCACTATTAATGGAAAAATAAGGGGTTCTGTTTCACAGTGAATATTATAATACTTGTTCTTATCAAAGCATACAAATGTCACTTATTTTAGTGAACCTTTCTTAAGATGTCATCTGGAAATGATGAAGATTATTTTCTAACAAAATCCCAGTCATCTGATCCAAATATCCAATCAATCACTCTAGTTGACTTGAGACACAGGAGGAGTGTGCTATTTAAGGATCAATGTTTAAACCTCTGTTAAAATGACAAATGACAGATATAAAGTGTACATTTTATTCTTGCTGCCCAGAGCCACTAGCACAGTCTCTTCTTTAATCTCGAATACAGACTTTCAGATGAGCTCCAGTGGGTCTCCTCTGAGAGCGAATGACATTGGTTTATCTTTTAGTGATTTGTTGTAGCCTACTAAGGATTCTTGTTGAAAAAGCCTATGTGTATAAACAAAGCAAAATGAAAAATGCCTATTTTCTGCACAACATCACAATAGTGATAAAATCTGACAAGGAATAAAGAAAACATGAGCACAGACTCAGATGTACAGTGGTCAGCTAGGCCACATTAAACCAGTTTATTTAATCTTTTTTATTAAACACAGAAATTAATCCACATTTTGATACGAATGTACACCTAAGCAGTATATTCTGCTTTTCTTTGAAGGCATTGATAATGGGACTAATAGGTGACAATCTGTCTTCTGACACACATTATATACAAGCTAAAGAGTGATGAGTGAGAAATAATGATGAGACAGAGCACTACTGCCACATAAGAGCTGAAGCGCATGACATGAAAGAAGTAAAGTCAGAGGGTGTTTTTCAGTTCCTATACTAATGTGGCTTATTCACTTCATTATCTGTTTCCTGCCTAAAACCAAAACTGGTTATCCAAATTTTGTTAATCTGCAATAAAGAAAAGCTGAATGATGCCAATTGGTACCTAATCTTTCTCAATTTTTTAAAGCAAGCACATAACAAGCACCTGCAGCTACTTAAAGCTGCCAATATGCATCAGCTAAAAACTTCTCACAGAACATACAACAGAAGGGAACAAAGATTCACAAACATGAGGAACAAAATTCTTCAGACTTCAGACCCATAATTTCTTAACAATGATATTTACCCCTCCCTTGCCTATTTTAAGAACATCCTCTAACATTAAATACTCCCAGGACATTTTCATCATCCTTCTCCCTCGCTTTTTTATAAGCCAGTGTTGTTCTGAATGTGAGAGTTTCATCACACCCATCTTTTTGCAGGATTTATAGGTGTGTGTGTGTGTGTTTGTGTTTGGAACATCAAGATGCTCAAGTAGAGAGGGTGGACTATACATTGGCCCTTTACCAAATATATCCCCCATCATCCACCTCTCCCACCTCTCCTTCTTCCTCTTCAGCCTCCTCTGCAGCCTCCTCATCTTCTTTCTCTTCCTCATCTTCCCATCCAACCCCGCTGCCAAAATCACCTGAATATGCTATTTCATCATCTGTAGAAAGATGGACAGAAAACATGCAGGGCAGGGGGGATACAGGGAGAATGAATTATCCACAGTGGCCTCTTGTATATTGCAATAAATTCTGCTCAGCATGTCTTCCTCTCAATTTTGACAGGGATTCAAAAACATTGACTGCAAAGGCAAAAACGGGGGCATGTGTTTGACTTTATCTGGATTTTAATAGCTATTTCAAAACCTTGCCAGGGGGACCCATTCTTATCAGGTGTAGGTTCAGTCCAACCAGCCCTCATTTATCTTGAAAGACTTTTCTCACAGCGACAAGCTGTGCTTTAGAATGCAAATAAGTCTGGACACATGAATGTGGCACTGGTCCCTGCAGTTTACACTGCAGTGGGCCTCAGTCCTTTAACATAAAGGAAGGCTTGTGGAGAATGCATGTGGGGGTGCTGTGGAGGAATGGGCCGATCCACTGCAGAGTTTTTTCTTGCTAGGTTCAAATTCTATTCATATGTTGTCAGCTGAAACCTACAGAGCTTACCACAATCTGGCTTGCCGCGGATTCTAGATGCAGCTACTTCCCCACCATTTTGATCAACACACCAACACTCTCCCCTGTCACACTGCTGCTTCCTGTAGTAGCCGTCTTCATCGCAGCTAGGGATGAATTGACCTGGCATTGACAAATGAAAAAAAGTCAGGTATGGCAAAGAAAATGTTATCCTACATACTGTACAATATAATGCCCTCAAATCACATGCAGACAAAGCAGATAAACACATCCGGGCCTCATCACACATGGCACTCAGCCCAAGTGAGAATGAAATGCACGCAGCATACAGTATGTGGCAGCCAGTTCGATTCACTGAGCAGGACAGGGGTAAATAAGTATTAAGTTAACATATTGTAGCATTTTGAGGTGTGTATGTGGGGTGGGGGGAGGTAGCTATCATGGAATAAAGGAGGACACAAGATCAGAAAGTTTTCAATTTTTACATTATTACATGAATATGAAATAAAGCCTGTGGTCAGAAAACCAGGGGGGGAAAAGGAGTAAACTGTCATAGTCTTCAGAGCTGGATGGATTTGTCATGATAATATTTCAGAGAGTTTTTTATAGTGTTGTAAAAGAAAAAAGAAAAATTTGAGTGTAACACAATCTTGGAGAATCTTGAATCAGAGCCCAGTCAGCCAGCCAAAATCTGCACATGCATACATACAGTACGTATGTCCAAATACACACATACTGTACATTCACATATTCACATGCTGACACATACATGCAAGACACATCGAGAGCTGCTTTCCTTCTAATCTATAAGACTGATCAGAGACTAATCTCCTGCTTGTCATCTGCTTGATGAAACCCCACTGACCACAAAAGACACATCTAACTGGGTTGAAATGCTTTTATGAGAAGTCAGACACCTACCAAACTTTCTTTTGCCGCCATCCAGTACTTGGATTCTCTCAAGTTCAGCCAGGCATGGCGGCTCTGAAAAGAACAGAAAATAATATTTACAAGCGAAAATAAAGGAACAAAGCACTCTCCTGAGCATGATTAGAAATACAACTGAGGTAATGACTACCTAAAATCTGATCAATCAACAGTCAAAACTAAATTCTCTTGTGAGTATAATCAATCTTATATAAATGGACTGTATTTATATAGCACATTTTCACACTGTGTTGCACTGGCCAAAGCACTTTACAGGGAGATCATACACCATTCACACACCGATGACAACAAGGCTGCCACACAACGGCACTAGTCAAGCCACCGGGAGCAATTCGGGGTTCAGTGTCTTGCTCAGGGACACTTAGGCATGCGGGGAGACTGGGAGTCGAACCACCAATTTGCTGGTTAGAAGACGACTGCCCTACCTCGTGAGCCACAGCCATTCCATATAATGGCTTCCAACAATTTAAAAATCTATTCTTATGTCCACCCTTCCCAAACACAAGAGTCTATGTTTAAGCTTGGCTGGTTGGCTGATACGTGCAGTTTCTGAGAGCTGTGGGAGAAGCAGGCTGTTAACAAGCATCATGGTTTTAGTGCCTTGCGGTGACTGTTTCATTCTGCAAGGTGAATACGAGTAGAAAGACAAACCAGCACATGACACAGAAGTGGCTACACCTGTGGGTAGTTTAACTTCTTGAGGTTTGAATGCATGTGTCAAAGGAGGTATATCAGGATGCCAATCGACACACACACACCCAAAGGCTACACACCTCACATCCTTCCCAGAATACTCACTCTCTCTCCAAAAGCAGAGGCACCACTCTGCAGTGGAGACCTTGCCGTCCCTGTAGGAGTCACAGGAGTTGAAGAAGGGTCGGATACAGACTTCATACTTGTCCAAGTTGATGGCAGCTAGCTCAGCCTGGTCCAGGTACAGGTCACTGTTGGTGTCTAACTTGGAAAACATCCAGCCTATGGAGTCCTTACAGCTGGCCACCAGGCTTCTGTCCAGCACTGCAAACACAAAGACAGACAAACAAACATTCATTTATATCAGGAGACAGCTGTACAAATGAATAATGAAACCATGCCAGTGTGCTCAAAAACACGTATTATTGTTTTAAAGGTGCATTAACGAAAATTTTATTTTCCCCATTGGACTTCTTTTTGCTTTTTTAAATTGCAGTTATTGCATGGTGCAATTAGTGTTGATCATGGCTCCCAAGTCTTGGTCCAGAAAATAACAAGTGAAAAGTCACCAGTTTATTTATTTATAGGACACCAGTGGGTTTTTATGAATGTACACATCCAGAGTTGTGTAGTATAAAATTGCCCAGAGCTGCAGTGTCAACTGTTATGTCAGCAGTAGCAGCTGGGTAGCAACAACCACTGTCTTCACAAAGATATAATTCAAGACTTAACGATTTGTTTAGACATTTTTATAGTATACTGCCTGTAACTAAAGTATTGTAGCTATTTCTTAATATAGTCGGGATTCACCGGGTAGCAGTTCTAACCTGATGCAGTGCTGGCTGCAGTTGTTCTGGCTCCAGGCTTGCTGTTGTTATTCTGCTTGGCATTGCTCTGCAGTAGCTGGAACCAGTCCCTCAGACGCTCCCCGAGATCAGCCAGATCCTGTCCGGTACAGCTCTCTGTGGAGGTCAGAGGGAACGGAAGAATATATCTGTTGCATCCATTGTGATTGTTGTGCTCATTGAGTGTGAGAGACGGAGATAAAGAATCAAAAAAGAGAGAAATGGGAGACTGCAGTGTTTACCAGTGAATTCATATTAAATATATTTTTTCAGATTTTTTCTTACCATGTTTACTTTCCTTGGATGTAGGTGTAGCAGCTGGACAAGGACACAGATCTGAACACTTCAGGGTTATATCCTTCCCTGTAAGACATGCCTGCTGCTCCAGTTTGCACTGCAACACAACCACATGCATACATGCTTTAACACACATACTCTGGTAACATTGACAAGGGGACACAAAGGTGAAGTAAAATGAGTTATTGCCTGCAACAGAGATCAAATATTCATGAGGTGACTGACTGTATGCCTTAATTCAAATCTGGAACTTGCTCTTGAATGTGTTTTTTAACCTCTGCTTTCAGACAAGGTCAGAAAGAGTGATCCAAAAGACAAAGCACAAATCAATAAGCTCATGAGATTTTGTCAGCACAGGCCACCAATTGGTCCTTCTGAGGCCATACATCATGGCTCTTTGTCTCAGGTTTTCCCCCTGAGAGTCTCTTCACACTGCTCAGCTCTGAATGTGCAAGGTGTGTGTTATTAATTACAGTGCACAGTACATTATGTTAGTACACATAGCACAAAATTTAAGCTGTGGATAAATGTGTGCATTTGACTGATGCACATATTTTTTCATACATATTCACCACATAGTAATTTTTTAATCATGTCTGTTAGTACAACCTACAGAGCAGATATTTTTACACATTCTTATTGAAGGGGATGCTTTACAGTTGCCCTGTCAGTGATTCCCACCCTCCATCTACACCAAGTATTTTTACATCATTTTCTTTTTTTCTGTTTTTCAAAGTTTTGATTCAATGTCCGCCAATATATTGTCTCACAGAAGGCACATTTATCTGTGACTCATTCTTTTAAACCTGTAGGCTATATGATTAAAAAAAAAATAGATATATAAGTGAGTTATGTTTGTGGGACTGGTTGATATGGCTGAAATCAATATATTTCTATTATCAGTGTACATTCTGTTGACAGTTTATTAGGCACAGTTGGGTAAAACTAATACAGTCTAATATAATAGTCCTGCCATTTTGGAGGCTGCAGCTTGTGGTACTGTTTAATAGTACTGGGTTGTACTGACAGGTGTTTCTATTATTAAATTCACTCTCACTGATATAAATGGGTAGCATATAATTTAACACCTCAGTATGATTAAACAACCGCATGATATAGGTTCCAAAATGAACACAAACATAGGCATAAAACAGTTTCAACAAAATCTGCACATTATAATCTTCATGAAAGGATGATTTGTTGCAGGACAATTGTACAGTATGAGACTTCCCAACAAACTGACAACTGGGTTTGTATCTAGTTATTGCAAAATTGAATGATGCAACTGGCGTTCAGTGCAATGAACTGTGTTCAGTTGTCATGCTTTACATCTGACAAAACAGTTAAAATGAGCAAAACAAAACCTTCAATAACTAATTCAGTTAGTTTTAACCACAATTTTCTTAGAGTAATTAAATCAGCCTGCAAAATTTTGTAATATTTGATGATATTAGACACAACACCGCTTAAGGTAGATAATATCATTTCCCAGGGTTATGTGTTTGTACCTTTGAGGCATAGTTGTGTCCATCTGATCCACACACAGGGCCGGTGGAGGAGATGGGACAAGGTTTACAGTTTCCATCAGGAGACCTGAGAGCAGGTTGCTTCAGTCTGCAGGACAGACACAAACACAGCCTCACTAAATCCAGCCGAGACATCAAATGCTGTGCTAATTCAGAGAACAGACACAGCAGCATCAACCTGAACATGTAACAAACAGCGCTCCCGTGTGCTGTTGTCTGCATGTATTGGTTTATCATCAAACAACAGGCAACTGTACTGCACTAGTGCACACAAACAAGTTTTATTATTACACATCCAAGACAGCACAAACCACTCACTGTAAACTTTGTGTTTCTGTGCATGAACAGAGAAGATTTTTGGCTACATGTATGCTTTTGTTTTTGCGAGTTAGAATGGAGTTGCGCAGGGCTTTGCACACTCACCTGTGTTCAAGTTTCTTGCGGTTGATGCACACAGCTCTCTGGTAGCCCTGGGCAATACACACCTTGTGCCGGCTGCATTTGACCTTTTGACAAGGGTCCTTGGTGGTGTCTACATCTAGGAACAAAATAAGAAATCCCATGTATACTGTAGTATCCTCACTACTTCCTGCTTTTGACCTTTTTCCCAGTGTTTCTCTGTCCATCATTCTATTTTCCGCTCCCAGTCTCAAATCCCAAATCTCTCCCCTCTATTTGCTCAGCGTAACCTAAGCGTCAGTCTGAATTACTGGAGCAGCACAGAACAGTTGGTCTTGAACTACAACCAATATGTATCTTGAGGCATTTTGTGCTTTATTGCCAAACATAAAACTCAAAAGACTTTCAAGAGGAAGCCAATTCATTTTTGATCGAGCTGTACATGTTATAAGTTTTTGTAAGAGTAAAGAAAAGTGCAATTTTCACAGTTCACTGGCAGATTTCTTTTAGTTACTTATTGAAATATGATTTTGATATTATACTTTAGGTGACTTGCTAAGACAAAAGCATTTCACAAAGTAGTCTAAAGCTTGCGTGGATAGTTCATTCTGCCCCATCCATCACGGACCACACACTGCTGTCAGCAAAATGCTGGACCATGTGTCAGCACCCCTCCACACAAACACACACTTACTTGTACTTCTATATTTGTGAGGACACTCGCTGATATAATACATTCCCTAGCCCCTTATCCTACCTTTAACCATCAGAACTAAATGCCCCTACCCTAATACGTAATTCTAACCTGAACCATAAAACCAAGTCTTAACCCTCAAAAAGGTGTTTCACAAAGTGAGGACTGGCTAAAATGTCCTTACTTTCTAAAGATGTCCTCACTTTGTAGCAAAAAAATACATTTATGGTCCTTGTTACGTAGCAAGTGGAGGAACACACTCATATGTGACAGCTGTCTGCTACTTGCAGGCCTCCTGGAGCCTGAAGTGGATTTCACACTCTGTTCTTTTCCACTCCCCTGGCCTTCGCTCACTTACACTCTCCATCTGTATGGTACACTAGAATATGGCTTGTTCATAGAGTACTACTGCAGGGTCCATCTGACAGAGGTGCTTGTAAATCATATATTCATTCATCCCTTGTGCTTACTGTACCCTATTATATAGCACTATTATAATTTAGCAAGCGGGCTTAGGGTCTCCTCTCTTTTCCTCTCTGATCCTAAATACATTAATGCTGCCTACATCACAGGATTACTGAAACAAACTGAGAGATATCTGATTTTGAGGAGCAAATCCAAAACAATACAGCCGCCTGTCATGGCTGAGCTGGTTGTATAACTGACTGACTACTGTGCTGCTGGGGAGAAACAGTGAGGCTCGGAGGCATTAATGCCCAGATGCAGACTCTTCATTCAGACTGTCAACAGTGGAGCCTTATTCTCTTGTCCCTCCATATCCCAGTTGGCATTGATTGTGTAGAGTATCTCAGGGTATGGTATCACACATCTCCAAACCTCTGCTGTACTTGCTCTATCTGTTTCTCCAGTGTCTCCTCTTTTGTAGCTGTCTGCCTCACTTTTCACGCAGGTTTGATGTTTCACCCCCTCGTCTAATTTATCCTATTGCATCAGCAGAGTCAAGGTGCAGCAACCTATACAATCCTTAGGCCAAGGAAGAGGACATTAAATTTGTAATGGGGATACATCTCATTTGGTTTGGTTGCAAACATACAGTATGTACTGTACATGTATTTTCCAATCCATCCATTGAAGATTAAACCAATGGTTACACCAAAAAACAAAGTATCTTATATACAACCTCCAATCATACATACAATTCTGCTTTCTAATAGCAAAGTGTTTGTAAATAAATCTTGTTGGTAGGAAGTGGCTACAATACTGGCACAGTGTTGTGTTGTGAGTACAGAAGCATAAGGTGGCTGCCTGAGCCTCATGTTAACTTAACAGCCTTCCATGGATTAAAGCAGTGCCTGCAATGATGACGTTTCCATAGCAACAGGCTCTCTGTGGTCCGGGAATCATTTTTGGGTTGACTGTGATTTGCAGCTCAATCTGGTGTTTCTGAGAACTCTCCTCCTTTCTGTTTCTAAAACCTCTGTGGTGCACCTGTGTCTTTTCATATTCCTTTGTCTTCCCCTCATATCAGACATCGTCAATATGTGTATTCTCATCCTTGCTCTTCCTGCCTGTTTATTGATTTCCTCATCACATCCACTCTATCTCTGTTCAACTCTTGATGCACCTACCTACTTCAAGTTTTACTTTTCAAAAGTCTCTCCTTTGGTATTAAACTAATGCCTGCTGCAGTAGATCTCTCCTAATTAGGCTCCCTGTGCTTCGGTATAATCCAGTCCAGATTGGCATGGGGCTTATCCCTGCAGATTTAGGATAACAGAAGCAGAGTGCAGGCCGCATCCTCATCATCAACTCTCTTATCTCCTAATTACACACCCAGTCTCTAATATCATCAGTGCTATTATGTCTTCTAGGTACAGTAGCACTGAGGACAGGTGTCTCTTTGCTGCCTACAATTGCCAGTCCAGTAAATACAACAGCAGACACAAAAAAAATTAACCAGGAATCAAAGAAAAAAAGAATATAGGTCTAAATCTGAACCTGCGTTAATAGATTTTTTGCATAAATGTGGACGTCAAACAAGCTACAAAAACAAAGACACTGATGAAAGTAATAGGACAATCAAATGTGGACTATTAAATATCAGATCTCTCTCATCTAAATCTCTGTTAGTGAATGATTTGATAAGTGAACATCACATTGACTTATTGTGTCTTACTGAAACGTGGTTACATCAGGAAGAATATGTCAGCCTAAATGAATCCACTCCACCT